CTTGATCTAGCTTATGTCTTTGGGACTTCAAGCCTGTCACACTCTCTAATGTAGGAAAATGGGAGGGGGGGTTATACAGAGTCTGGGGGATATGTAGCCATAATAACATTCTTTCTCAGAAAGTCAAGGCTATCTTTCCCTGCAGCTGCAATGAGGTGACTGGGAGGCATCTCCAGTTTTGGACGGTGCCTGATTGGGCCATGTGATGGACATGTGTGTGCTGGGCAGGGACTTGAACTTTCACTTGCATGGGGAAAACCTGGAAACTTTCAGATTTTGGTTTTCCCAGAGGTGCCAATATGACATCTCTAATAAAATGGAACTTTGAGGAACCTCAAGCCTCTGAGTCTTCTTTCGTTAGGGGTGTTACTTGGAACCCTGACAGCTTACTGTTTCAATAGAAGAGAATATCTGTAACTCAAGATTGAAAGTGAAGTCCTTTGTGTTCTCTGAGTTTTGTTGTTTACATGCAGATGTTTCATTACATAATTAGATAACATCATCAGAGCTGGGAAAGGGGATGTTTGCCCCCCGTTTATATAGCTTACTGATGCCTGACTGTTTCTGCTGCTTTGTAATCTCACTGCTCTTGAAACAGGAAAGGTGAATCTCCATTTCAGCCACTCAGGAACTCTAGCAAGGAGATCATGGCACGGCTACCTTTACAGAGGTGTCTTTGGCAATTGGAGCTTTATCCCCATGGTACATGACACTAATAGCACTCATTAGGTAAAGGCAAAGGTTTCCCTCACACATGTGCTACTCATTCCCGACTCTAGGGAGCAGTGCTCATCTCCATTTCAAAGCTGAAGAGCCGGCACTGTCCAAAGATGTCTCCGTGGTCATGTGGCCAGCATGACTAAACACCGAAGGCACACAGAACGTTGTTACCTTCCCACCAAAGGTGGTTTCTATTTTTCTACTTGCATTTTTACATGCTTCCGAATTGCTAGGTTGGCAGAAGCTGGGACAAGTAAAGGGAGCTCACTCTGTTACGCGGCGCTAGGGATTTGAACCGCCAAACTGATGACCTTTCTGATCAACAAGCTCAGTGTCTTAGCCACTGAGCCGCTGCATCCCAATATATATAGCACTCATTGCTGAGCTCAAAATGGCGTGATATGGTACCTTTTTGGTCTGGGTTCTGGTACATGGATTTTTTTTATTCTAGTGAAACTAAAAACCAAATCCTATGAGCTAGAAACCTGTCTGGAATGATGCACTTCAGCTGAAGAACATTTGAAGCGCCTTGCTGTTTCAAGCCAAAGTCCACTAGTTCTGTGTCTTGTGCCAGCTTTCCAGCAGGTATTAAATGATCTGCAAAGTTTGCCAAGCCTCATAGAGTCCTGCTGTTCTTACTTTGTTCCCAAAACAAGAGAAAAAAATCACACGGCTGAAAATCATTGGTTGCCACTGAATTTAACTGACATAATCTGGGTTTGTTCTGGGGGATGCAAAAATAGAATTCTGGAGCATATGTAACCCCAAAGTTGCCCAACTTTCATATTGGTTAAAATTAAATTGAAGAAACCCTATAATAGATTTGTATGCCGATTTAATAGATTTGTATGCCGCCCAATCCTGAAGGATGTATAATGTATCATCTTTCAAAAATGTGGGCTAGAATACATCATTCTTTGCTTTTTCCAGGAGCTAAATAAAAAGTAAAATTGGCAGTACATCCCAAGTATTGCATTAGATTGGGAACAAGTATCCTTTTTCAGTTGGGGACATGTTTTGAATTATGAGCAAATGTGACAAAGAACTTGCCTTGAGGGCTGATTCTTTACAAAGCACCTATTTACTGGTTATGAATGAACTCCAAATCTCTATTAAACTTTGTGAAGTCTGTGGTGTTACTAAATAATCGAAGGTACTAATGTCTGGTACACAGTTTTACATATGCCAGTTTTCTCTTTAAGTTCTTTTTTATTCTTAAGGAATCCTAGAATCATAGTAATGGAAGGATTTTCTGTTACTCACTATCCTGTCAGAACTGAAGAAGCTTCTTGGATGAGAAGCAAAACGCCTTCAAAGAAAAAACAAGGAAGTCCAGTTGCCCCCTGAAAAAAACACCTTTGGGACAAACTATGACCTGGATTACTGGGAATCTCTACAGACCCATAGAATCATAGGACTGGAAAGGACCTTGGAGGTCTTCTAATCCAAATCCCCTTGCCTAAAATAGGACTGCTTATACTAGTGATGGCTAACTTTTGATCCTCACGTGCCAAAAGCATGTGCACGATGCTACGCTATCACAGCAGTTATCTTGACCTTGTATGCAGCTTTATTCCTCTCTAGCATTCATCTCCATTGTTCAGTGATGCATTTCCTGCCTCTCTAGGATTTACCTCTATCTGCTCCTGTGAGGCACTTCCTGTTCCTGTTGGATGTATATGGATGACTTGTACAGTTGGATGTATATGGATGACTTGTAC